TAATTATTAGTTCTGGTTACAAACCAGTTCTAGTTCTATCCCAAATAAAAACGTAACTCAAAACCTACTTTTGGATACTTCAAATTATAGACCAAACGCAAAACTAGTTTTGATTAGAACCGCAAGTGACAAAGCTTTATAGACCTAAAAAAGTTTACCCAGAAAATTTAGAGTACGAGTATCTACGATCACGATTTAAATTATTATATTATGCAAGACTTAAGACTAGATAAATAACTCTAGGTGGCTAATGAAATATTTCAGTGCGTAATGGACTATAATGCCATCATTAAATATTCTAAAACTACTTAAGCTGCATTTAAAGGATGTTTTTATGTCCTTCTTGTCCACAACGAATTTCTCCCAAATTTTTAATACGCGATTTTTTTCAGTCGTTTGTAGTTTAGTGGTAATATAATAACGTAAATTGAGGCTGAGAAAAGAGCTTTTTCTGCCTTGTAAATATAAGCTAATAGAATTTGGAAATTCTCTGAGATTTTTAAATTCCCCCCCTCATCAGACTGATTTTATCAGCAATGTTTTCATACTTTTTTATAAGTAGAGTACCGCAGGCTGTTTTGGATGATAAATTCATTGGAGCACCTTATAGACATGGCTTATTTTCTAATCTTGGCATTAATCTATTTTCTCTCAAAAGAACGACGCCTCAGGAAATTGAAAATACTGTTGAAATTAAAAACCAACGCTGTGGGCTACAATAATATTAGCTAAAAGATGTTATGCTACTTTATTCCGCATTTAGGTAACTATTTATTTATCTTTTATGTGAAATAGAGTTTAGGAATCAGAAAAATGTCCTACAAGTGAGCAAAAGCTTATATGTATGTTAAATAAATAGTTGATTTAATTTACCATGTACTTATTTTTTTCTAAATCTCTCAGTAAATATTTGAAATGGAATGATTTTCTGAATGTTATATTTATACCTACTAAATCTCATTCATTCTTTCGTCTTCTTCTTTCGTTCAGAAAATTAAGTGGCACCTTCGTCAAACTGTTTAATACTTTTGAATTCTGACCCACGCCTGGAGTCCATGTATATATTGAACTGAGATGTCGTGCATATGGACAGACTGTATTACAGATAAGAGAATCATTACGAGCTTCATTCTGCCTACTAGAGGTAAGGCTATCGGTTACAGTATCGCAGTCCGGGAATGATCAACTTTTCCTGCTAGGTAGGCATATTCCGTCCTAGGATTCGGCTAGTAACTAGCCCAATGCAAGGTGCCCTAAACATCGTTAAAAATTGAAGCGAAGGCGACGGTTTATCCCTAAACGCAAACTAAATAATCCTTGTTCCGTTCACAAGAAGAAGGAAGCTAAATTTGAAAGCCCCCACCCTTAACGGTAAACAACTAACATTTTCCAACGAAGTGAAGTACTTAGGGGTCACCCTGGACCGAACACTCACTTGGAACAAACAGTTAGAGAAAACATGCTCTCGAGCTACATCAGCCATCTGGTCATGCCGAAAACTTGTTGGCAAAACATGGGGGCTAAAGCCAAAGATGGTATTCTGGATTTACCAAACTATAATAAAGTCCATGGTCACATATGCCTCATTGGTGTGGTGGCCCAAAACCCTTCTTGGGTTTTGGGTCACCGCAAGATCAAGCTTAGAAAGGTACAAAGGCTGATATGCCTAGGAATAACGGGAGTAATGTCAGCTTGCCCCACCGCAGTCCTAGAGACGCTACTCAACATGCCCCCACTTCACCTATGTGTGAAAAAGAAAGCAATGCCAATAACCAGCACTCACAGGCTATTCCAAACAGACAAGTTCAAGCCTGGTGATCTGAGGGGACATCTGCGCATCCTTGATTTATTAAAACTGGAGGTTGCCAGCCAACCAAGTGACCACATGAAAGTCAGATTGAACTTGGAGATCGCATTCGCAGTGGTGATAAACGACCGCCAATCATGGGAGAATAAAGAATTACCACAACCAGACAATGCATCTCTGTGGTACACAGATGGATTCAAGCTAATGGAAGGAGCTGGACTGGGCATTTCCGGCCCTAACTTCAAGCTCTCCAAGGCATTGGGTAAACATATTACAATATTTCAAGCCGAACTGCTTGCCATAGATATATATGCAAAAGAGTGTCTTATCCAAAGCCTCAAAAGAAAACACATTTTCATATCGGACAGCCAAGCTGCCTTAAAAGCCTTAAGGGCTTTCAAATGCACGTCAAAACTAGTCTGGGAGTGTAAACAGACCCTAAAAACACTAGCGACACATAACCAGGTAGCGCTAATGTGGCTGCCTGGTCATCGAGGCACAGAAGAAAGCGAAGAAGCTGATGCCCTCGCAAAAGAAGGTCTCAACACCATACCACCCTACTGTGGCTTAATGGAAAGCCACATCATGGAAGAACTCAACAAATGGGAGAAAGACCAACTGTCATCATATTGGAGGCACACTCCGGGACTCAGAGAGTCAAAAAGGTTCATTACCCTTTCAGCAAAAAGAGCTGAACAGCTCCTAAACATGCGCAGAACAGACATCAGATTGGTGGTAGGACTGCTTACAGGACACTGCCTGGTAAAATACCATTTAAGGTTAATGGGCAGAGAGAAGACGATCTCTGTAGGTTCTGCTCAGACGCAGCGGACACTGTGGAGCACCTGCTCTGCGAATGTCCAGCCCAATTCTACAAGAGACTAAAATTCATCTAGAGGGCAACACTGTCACCAGAAGAAGTGGGCCAACTGCCACCCAGGAAAATAGTTTCCTCCAGCAGAAATCTACGCTTCCTGCAGACAACTCAAGATGTAGAGTCACGTACAAAATATCCCCAAAGGTAGCAGTGCTGAGCGGCTAAAAAGTTGAAATGACTCCCCCACAATCTACAATCTACAATCTACTATTCCTCGATAGATGTCGTGTAACGAAAATGACATTTCTCAACGGTATTCGATTAGAAGAAGTTTGGGCACAAAATAAGTGAAATTGAGATTGTGGGTTTTAGGATAAGTTTAATTCGAATCAAAGTGTGTCACAAATTCGAGGGCCAACATGGGGACATCGGTAACCGTTAGAGATACCAAGGTGGTCAAATTGGATAAGGCATTCATGTGTCCAATAATTTGCCGGTAAGAAAATAGTTATTTGTGTACCAAGGCCGTAAAGTTGATCTTTTTTGGCCGAATCAGAAATTTGCGGCCGAGGCATAGCCGAGGCCAAGCAAATTTCAGGTGAGGCCAAAAAAGATCATTCGGCCGAGGTGCACTCAAAATTTTTTAGGCGAGTGTTTGTTCTTGAAAAAAGAAGAAAATTCAACAGTAACTTTAAACTTTATTGATCAAATAAATAATCCAGCAAAAGGTAGATACACAATTATTAATAACAAAAACTACGATAAAGTGATTATAGAAATTTGCCGACTTTTTCGCCTGGTATCTTACATTGAGCTTCTTTAAAAAAGCAATCAATTTTGAAAACTTGCTGATATGTTAGGTATTTCCGACTATAATTGTAAATTTTAACATAGAGTATAACATAGGTGGACCTGAAGACCATAACGTTGAGGATTATTTAATTTTGGCAAGAAAATACTTCTCCGAAATTTTTAATCATGCCGTTTTTTTTTAGCATTTTATGTGGAAATTTGTAGCGGCCGTAAAGTAAAAGCGGCCGTGAAGTAAAAGCGGCCGTAAAGTGATAAAGCAAATGCGGCCGTGAAGTAAATGCGGCCGTAAAGTGAATGCGGCCAAAAAAGATATACTTTAGGGATGATATTGAATCCGTAAAACTAATCTTTTTGTGACAGTCGCCTAAAAAAATATATATATTTCTGGTTTTCGAGATTTTTTGAAACAACGTACAACCACTCTAAACTTAGTATAAATAACACGTCAGAGGAACCTTGGTAAACTCACAAGAAATAATTATACCAGTCCGAAAAGCCAACCTCTGTCACAACACTATTCAAATCAACAAGGGCGATGTTATAGCCACCTATAAATCTTTGCATTGCTCAAAAGGCTTCTAAACATGAAACAACCAGGACAGGTAGTAAGATAGCTGCAGAAGATACAGCAGTACAATTTTTAGAACAAATATCGTTCTGGTAAAGTGCATAATAATGCATATGTCGACCAGGCTCAGCTCAATGCAAGCACTGCCTCGGAATAGGCCAGCGTGAAGATGATCCTATGAGAAGCCTCCGATTTGAAATCAATTTCGAGGTTATGTCGGATAAAGCGAATATAAACGTTGTGAAACTAAAAAACCAAAAAACGTACAAACATTATGAGAAAAAGGTGGTAGACTCTTATGAATGTGAAAACTGTAACGCCAGTTTCCATCCAAGTTGTGCTAACCAAGCTAAAGTTACAAATAACAGTGGAAAAGTGTTTTGTTCTGCAGGGCAAGATCATAGTGAGGTTATACCAAGTAAAAGGGGCGATAGTGGTCTTAAAAGCTCAGATACTATAATTATGGATGAAAAAAACTAAAGAACATAATTCGTGAGACCATACAACAGTCCATGGATAGGCTTCGAGAAAAAAATTAACTCAAAAATGAAAAATTGGATCAACATAATATGTCTCTCAGGTTTGATGCACAAATAAAGAAATTTGAGAGTGTCTTGGAAGAACTTAAGGTACTAAAGAAGGAAAATGAAGACCTTAAGAGTAGACTACAAATAGCTTTAAATAAACTGCATAACCTGGAATTAAAAGAAAATGAGAACAATATGGTGATGATTGGTGTACCAAAACAAGAGAATCTGAACACATATGAAATCCTATCTAGGATCTGTACGTCATTGCAAACACCACTTAGCAATGAAGATATCAAAGAAAGTTACAGAGTAAGTAAGAAAGAAGATGCACCTATCCTTGTGAAGTTTAAAAGCAGAATTCAGAAGAATGAGATTATGAACATGATTAAAGTGTAAAGGAAACAACAGTCGAAAAATGCCAACTTCAAGGTACAAACAGAAAAATCTACTTAAACGATCACTTACCTGTCAAAAAACGAGAACTACTTAAACAAGTGAGAGACTTCAAGAACGATAAAGGATACAAGGCCGCCTTTTGCAGGAATGGTATTATATACTTAAAAAGAAAAAAACAGATCAAGACGCTCCTATTGAAATTAGGTCTTATCTTGATATGAAAAACTAATTGATTTTACGATAGGTACTTTCAAGTTAGTGGCACCCATCCTATCCAATATTTATATAAGTCCTCTGTCACTCAATACTGATAAGATCAAATTTATTGCATTTTTCTTAAAGTCTAAAAACTTGCCTACATTTCAAAATATTACTTCATAGCTATATCTGTAATTTAGATGATATACATACTATCTCGATGCGATCAATTAATTGAAAGAACTAATAATGTCAAGTACTTAGGTATTATTATAGATGGAATGTTAACTTGGAAACATGATATTATATTGTACATTACAAACAAAATTCACAAACTAATATACAAGTTATATGAATTAAGAAATATATTCACTTTTAAAATGTTAAAAATAATTTATCAGTCTCTTGTAGAATCGATAATGTGCTATGGTTTAGTCGTCTGGGGATGTGCTGGAAAAACTGTCCTAAAAAAATTAGAAATTGCGCAAAAAGCCATTCTTAAAATTATTAAAAAAGTTATTAATTCTAGTATACAAAGGTAGTGAAACCCTTGACCCTAAACAACTTCACACTAAAGCGATAATCAGATTTATGCTACAAAATCCAAACTATAGGGAAACCATAATAATTAATGGTAAAAATACTACAGGCGAAACCAAAAACAACATTACCCTATGCAATCTCAGACATTTTATATGCCTGAACCACATCTTTTATTTAGGACCTAAACTATTTAATATGCTACAAAATAAGTTTAGAGATAAACCCTTCTACATAATTAAAAATGAGATTAATAATTGGATAATGGATAAAAACAGCACTATTACATCACTTGTATAAGGTTTTACCCTCTATCATTTCATTCAGCAGAATTCACACCAATCCTTCCAAAGTGTTTTATGACTAGTTGTAAACAAACACTCGAATATTATATTATAGAATTATAAATGTATATAAGGCGAAAGTTATATTATAAATCCCTATGTTATAATTATATAGGTACATAATTCTCCTTTTCAATGTTAAATATAAGCATACACCACTGTGAAAGCTCACAATATTATAAAGATGCTGAGTAAGCGGTACTGCACTGGAAAAGTACCGTCATATCAAGGTTTCGCCCACTCAGTTGCACTGTCAGCGACATTTTATTATAAATACGGCGCGCAGAGCCTTCTATCATTCATTCATTTGTATTATAGCTTAGACTATAGCAATTTAGAATCAAGATTCTTTTGTTATCGTCTTTTCGCCGCAGCAATTAGAGTCTAGTATTTTTTGTTGTAATTTCTTAGTTTTTAATAAAATAAATAGTTTTTGAAAACAAGATTTACTAGGATTTAAACACGCTGAGGAGTACTTTAAATAAGTAAAATAGGTTATCAATAAAAAAAAAAAAATTTCATTATAAAAAAAAAAATACAATTAAATAATTTAGAGTAATGGTAAGATAATAATAAAATTAAAATAATAACCACAAGGTTAAATTAAAATGCTCGTTATGATTGAGCGAAATGCTGCTTTCCTGATAGTAGGCAAAAATATGAACAAAATAAGGTAGGTAAAACAAAAAGAAATTAAATCTTTGGATTCTCCTCCAAATAGACAAAATTTTCCTTTCAAATTCAGGTAGCTACTATAGATACTACAAGATAAACCTGGGGTTGAAATTAATCAAATCCAGAATATATCAAAATTCTTGAGATGTTCTAAGTAAAACTTTTCACTGAATTTTTGACCTGTATGGATTTCTATTAAAAAATTACATCCTTTAGTTGAAATAATAATTGAGGGAGTCAAACAGAAAATTGCTATTCAAGCCTCTGCCTGGATTCAATAAAGTTGATAGGGATGGACATAAAAATTTGGTTTTCACCGACTCTATTTAGAGCAAATGGTCCAATATTCCCACACTAACAATTGATTCTGAAAACCAGAGCAGCAGTACCTTTTTAAAATCCAAAAATCTGAATTGACTTACCTCAGATAAACGTGGCACTACCAATCGAAACTCGCACAAAATGGAAGTCAACAATTAGATAAAAAAAAAATTAAAATATAATATTTATATTTCAAGAACAGATAAGATAAGATTAATCAGGTAAAAACTTAATAATGATATGATAATATGCATTGATAGCAAAATATATTGAAAAATCTATAAGGGAGAATCCAAAAATATAAAGCAAAAATTATTCAAAATAAAGAGGACTTGCCTGCCAGACTTTTGTTTAGGAAAGAGATCGTTTTAGAAACCAAAGCCCACAGGAAAACGATTCTGTGTTTTTTATACTTAACTGCATTTTAACCAGTTCAACCAATCAGACGAGTACACCCAAAAGATCATATTCACTTCACAATGAAATCACAATGAAATCCCATGTGGAATAAAAGAGAATAGATAAAAATCAATTACAAATTATAATAATTTAAATTAAGGTTATGTCAAAAATAAAAAACTGTTAATTAATTAGGTCATTAGGCCAAAAAATGATTATTTCAGAATCAGAGGTTAGAAAAAGACTAAAAGTGAGATAAATATAATTTCTTTGAATGAAAATACAAATGACTGTCAAATGTGAAATAATTAAAATCATACTTTGAAAAATAAATCCATTAGGTACTAGATGGCAGTACTGGTAAATGAATAAAAGATATTTGCATTTTACGCAGATGATGGATAGATGGCAGCACTTGTATTATTTTGAACTTTGTGGATATTTTAGATTATTTGTCTGATTCTGAAATGGAAAAAATACGACTTTATAATGAAAATAAGAAGAGATGGAACATGTTACGTAAATGATAAATTTATCGTAACGATGAAAAATATAATTCGCACACACAGTATTTTTATACCATAGTGCGTCGCAAACATTTGTTAGCAAAAAAAAAAAAAACAGGTAAATTAAGTTTAATATTTAATTTTTAATATACCTACGAAAGTACCTACTTCGGAAAAGTATGTTGTGATGTTCCTGAGAAGCAGTACGGGAATCACTTTCCCGTACTGCTGCCAGTCCGAGAAGAAAGTGATTCCCGTATTGTTATTCATTGATTCCATGGCAATTATTGAGACAATTAAAATACCAGAAAACGGTCAACCGGTCGAAAATTTTGACATTTCTTGTCAATCGCAGAAAATAAGTATTTGTTTGATTGATGACAACTATTGTGAATGATTTGTAATATTTGCTGATGAATAAATTGAATTGAAAATTGAATTGAATTGAATTGAATTGAATTGAAAAGAATCAAGAATAAGGTTCCGAACAGATTAAGAAGTGACCAATTGACATCAAGCCATTTTTGAATTTAGAGGAATAGTAGAATGGAAAAGGAGAGAAGTATGTAATAAGTTTAGAGTCAGTTTTAATTCGATATTTGTCATGCATCTTTTGATAAGTGGTAAGTGAATTTTATAAAAAGTCAATTAGTTTATTAAAAGTTGTTACTGTTTGTGAAGTGGGTTTTCTACTGTTTTTAGTGAATCTGGAATCCATGAAACTACATTTTTAAGAAGAATCAGGGACAATATTCTTCATAAAGGGAATCGTTTAGGGCCAGATTCATGCCTTTCTCCAGACAGAATCTCCGTTCGTTCATATAAATAAAACATAGACTTGTTCTTGCTAGAGATGGGGTACGCATAATGGTAGCCCAAGCATTTTGGTCTGGAAACCTAATATTTTTCTAGATTAATTTAGAATAAACAAACAGGGAACAGGTAAAGCTCGGGAAAAACGCAAATGGGTGCCTTCTTCTGCCACCGAAACCGACTCAAAAGTCGAACAAGAAGTTGTCATAAATGACGAAGGAGAAACTGAAGAAGATTCAGAACACTATAAAACGAATGCGCTGATTACAAAGAGGATTAAAAAGCTAACAAAAAAAAATAGGTTGAATTAAGTGCTCCATATTTTAACCGTTGGTTGCACGAGGGAAAAACATCATATCTCTTGTTAAGCCTAGTCCGTCTCTCCTACACTAATTTAACAGTATTCAATAAAATGTTATGATTGGCTTTTCAAAATGTAGTCCATCTCTCCCCTACTTATTCTATACAATTCGTTGCTAGTTTGAATCGACGAGCTAGAGTATCGCTACGTCAATGATGACACATGGTCATTCATCAAAATTCGTGCCATTTCTACATGTAACTTAAGATATAATAATGATTATTTCATTCATTATCAAATAGACCCATCAGACAACGTCATTTTTTGACTGAATTTTGTTTAAATAAGTGATTATTTCACAAGACCTTGTTTATCAGCGATTAAATTTTTGTTTACCTTTTTTGACAGAATTTTGATAGAAATATTCTGACATTTTATAAGAAATAGAACTCTTTAGTCCTTTTCACGTGGCTCCGGTTTAACTAACCGGGTTACAAAACGGTTAGAGAAATGACATACCGTTTTCTAACCCGGGTACAAAGTGACGTGATGGATACCTACCACTCGAATTTGAGCGGTATGTTGCGGTTTGTTAAACCGGAGCCACGTGAAAAGAGTTTTTGGATAGGATTGACGCCAACAATTCAATCCCAATTATTCAGGAAATAATCTAGCCGTATACCACTCGACCTATAAATTTAAATGGATTAAACTATCCAAATATTTGTTTGCATAATTTTGCTTTTTGGCAAATAGTTTCATGCACAATAACTTTTAAATAATTTTTTTTTTTTTTTATTCTAGTTATTGTGCATTCAACTATTTTCCAAGCAAAATCATGGTCAAAATATGTTGGATAGTTTAATCGATTAAATTTAAAGCTCTTGTGATATAATATATGATTAAATTATACAAATGAAATAGGTATAAATTGTTTGCTTTAACTAGACAGGTAAACGTTTTAATTTTTTTTATACGAATTTGATACCCGCTTAATCAATTTACTAACTCAAACTTTCTTTCCTTATTCCATATCCGTTGGTTTAATAAGGTTAACTTCATAGTATCTACTCGGATTGCACTGATTTTGTCCCACGGGGTACGCTCCAGTTGGCACACGGCGTCCTAAATCATTTGAATCGGAGGGCATTTCGGAAAGGGGCCGAGTCGGGTTTCCATTAATGGAGAAATCAAAAGACGTGATAGATTAGCTTCGTCGGTAATGAACAGCCCCAAAGCTTCCAGTAAGCAACAGGAAGGGTGAGATTTG